GTGTCAGCACGGTCCTCTAGTGTCCGTGAGTTGACAGGGAACTACACACGTGACTGACAGTCGGGAACACAGGGCTCTGCTGTGTGGTCCAGGACACAGGAAATGAGGATGCAGGGCAGGTAGGCGGGGTCGGGGTGTAACAACCTCTCATCCTCGTCATGCCCTGAGCCCTCTAATGAGCCTGGCAAGCGGAGGAGCCTGGATCGGGAGGCGTCTCGGGCGTTAGACTGGAGGTGTGTGACTCCTCTGAGGGCGCTTAAAGCAAGCTGAAAGGGAGGCAGCCTGGCTTAGCAGTTACCAGGATGGACTTGGGGTTGAATTCCAGTCCTACCACTCATTGGCTGTGTTAGTCACTTCTCTCCTCTGAGACGGTAAAGTGGGGCTAGTCACACTCTACCTGGAGGAGCTGGCTGTTGTGGGGATTAAGATTCATGTCTGGGAAGCCCTGAGCACAGGGTTTAGGACCTACAGAGTCTGATTAATGGAGGCCTCCTTGTCATTATTATGACGAGCTTATCTCTTGAGGTCCACCTACCTAGACCAGCCCCAGCCTCCTTTTCCATTTGTTCCTCCCCATCCCCAAGCTTCTCTAATAGCTGTCATAGTGGGAGAGGTGGCCTAGGGCTTGGGGAGAAGGGGTGGGTGGAAAAGATTAGATAGCATCAGGGGGAGGAGAAATTACAGCCAAAAACGGAGGCCCCATCCTTGACAGAGTGGAGGGAGGGCTCCTTGACCTTCTCCTCAGACCCCAGAGCCTCTCCTTAACCCCTCAGATTTCTCTTGAGACTCTCTTCTCTTTCCTGCCACCACAAATCTAGTTTTCTAGCAAGTGGCTGCAAGAAGACACAGGGGATTAGGGTAGAGGCCTCTGAATGTAGAGACCACCCTGACTCCCTCTCACTCCCACGCCTGTCCTCACTACCAGAGCTCTAGCTACCAACCTCCGCCTACAGCAGCCAAGGGCTTCCCTGGCAAAGATGGCTCTGTCTGGGCAAAACCCAGAGAAATGGCATCCCAGAGTGGGTGGGGTGGATCCTGGCTGAAGACAGCCGGAGAGGGCCAGGGTGGAGGACCTGGGCCTCCCAGTAGGCCCCAGCATTCCCCAGCCCTCTGGAAAGGATCCGTTCCCTTCGGGAGAAAACAGCAGACAGGTCTGAGCTGGCCTGCTCCTCAGAAGACAGAAGAACAGGCTGGGGGAGGGGGCCTGAGATCTTAGTGGAGGGGTGGCTGTAACCCCCAAGGCTCCTCTGGGGAGCCAGGAGCAGAGGGAGTATGGCCTAGGCACACCCTACCGTAGCCTGGGACTCAGCCCTTTGCCCCCCTTGGCCAGGCTTCTGCCACTTGGAGAGCCAAGTGTCTGGGCCCCTACGGGGGAAGACGGTGCCTGCTCACCCCTTCCCAAAGAGCCAACATCGGTTCTTCACTTCCCCTCCCCTGGGCTGGGCAGGTTCGGGCTAATCTTCGCAAGAGCTTCACAGCAAACATTGATCTGTAATAAAACCACAACGTGTGTTCAGGAGAAGGGATTCCAGACACAGAGAGATCCAGACAACACACAGACACACTCACACACATAGACACACACACAGCTCTGGGAGGCAGACGCCAGCGGTCCTGGAAACACAGCTAGGCGCGGACTCACACTGAGTCGAAGGCACATCCCTTCCCTACCATAAACGTTGTCCTTCAAAACCCAAGCCTGCTCCGACAGCCTATTTCCCCGTGTTATCGTAGCACTTGGTACATAGCTCTATAATACACTTGCACTTGGCATTGTAATTATTAGTTGGCCAGTTTGTCTTCTCCCGTAATCTGAAGGTTTCCTAAGGGAAGAAATCTTGTCTTGTGCAAGTGTTTTCCTCAGCATCTAAGCATGCAGTTTGGTATTTGGTTAGTAGGAGTAGGGGAGGTGCTTAATGAATAATTGCTGAATTGATGAACAGAGGAATAAATGCATCCAGACGGTGATACCCCTCCGCCCCCCGCCCAGAACCCCTCAGAAGCACAGAGGATACCAAGTGCATGCTACTCAGGCCTCTGCCCCACCTTCTTGTCTCTCAGTCCCCTGATCTGACTGCCTCTCTGCTTCCTCAAAGGCCTCTTCTTTCTCCCTCTTCATTCAATGCAAGACCATGAATTTGAGTTCGGTCGAGGGCTGGCAGGCAAGGTAAGGGTTAATGACACCTCATTAGGGTTTAATTGGAGGAAGGAAGCTGCCCTGGCACCAGACCGGTGGGCAGGCCTGCCCCTGGCTGGAAGCAGGCGTCCCCTGTTCCAGTGCCCTGCCAGGTGTGCGCATTATTTGGCCCTGGAGATCCTCAACCCAGTCGGGGGCACCTCCCCCCACCATTTGCTTTGCCAATTTAGTCTCTAGGCAGTACAGACCAGTCCTCCCCATCTGTCACCGAACATTCAGAGGGGGAGTCGGGCTCCTTGTCCTTTCTCCTTTAGCTAGGCTGTGCCCCTCCCACTTCAGGAGACGCGGGAGGCTGGGAAGAGGGGTCGGGTAAGGAACTGGACAACTGCGAGAGAACACCAAGGGGGTGGATTTGGGATACAGACAGCGACAGAGAAATACAGCCACGGGGCTCAGAACTCGGAGATGTCTGCCCAATTTGACCTTAAATGAAGAGAATGCAAATGAGATGCAGACGATATGCAGATGAACACGAGGATCTCAGCATTAACATTCCCAGTGGCAGCAGCTCTGCACCCAGGACCCCAGCTCTGTTGCCAGTACCCTCTCCTAAAATCCCTGGCGGAAGTGGCACCGACCGTCACTTTGAGTGAGAAAAAGGACCTCCAGGAAGATGGAGCTTGGTTGGGCTAGAGCCGCAGGACCTGGGAAGCTGGGCTCCACCCCTGCCTCCCCGCCCCCAACCCGAGCACCACCAAGATGCCAATGGAACACCAGCACTAACCACTCTCCAGGTAGTGCTCGGACGCACCGTCGGTTGCTATGGGGACCCCACCCATGTCCAGGCCTGAACCAATGGGCGCCACTGCTGATGACCTCATGCCCCAGGCCCCCGAATTCTATTGGTTATTTGGAAGCCATAGTGCCCCTCTCCAGCTGCGTCAGGGCTGGGGGATCCCCCATGACTGGTGTGGCCTACTGAAAGAAGGGCGTGCTGCGAGCTCACAATTTGCCGAATGAATGAGAAAGGGGAGAAAAAGGGATGGGTCACAAAAAGGCCTGAAAGGGTTTTGCCTGAAAGGAGATTTGCACCCCCACCACCCCCCCCTCCCCCGGCCCGTAAAGAATGGAGCGGATCCGGTCGCGGAGACTCGGTTCCCAGGCTGTTCCGGGCAGAGAGAGTGAGCAAAGGTGAGTGGAGTTTTCGCATGTTTGGGAGAGAGTAGGGCAGGCCCAGCAAATTGAGGGCCTCACCCTCTGCCGTCTAGCGCCGCTGAGTTTAGGGGAGATCGGTGACGCCCCAAAACCTG